TCCGGGCAGGAGCCCCGGGAATTTCGGGCTCTGTTCCAGGTGGGAAGGGGGCAGGAGCCCCGGGAATTTCGGGCACTGTTTCAAGCAGGAGCCCCAGGAATTTCGGGCTCTGTTCCAGGTGGGAAGGGGGCAGGAGCCCCAGGAATTTCGGGCGCCGTTCCGGGCAGGAGCCCCTGGAATTCCGGGCACCGTTCCAGGCAGGAGCCCTGGGAATTTTGGGCACCGTTCCGGGCAGGAGCCCCGGGAATTTTGGGTGCTGTTCTGGGTGGTAAAGGTGGGCAGGAGCCCCGGGAATTTCGGGCACCATTCTGGGCAGGAAGGGAGCAGGAGCCCCTGGAATTTCGGGCGCTGTTCCGGGGGGGGAAAGGTGGGCAGGAGCCCCAGGAATTTCGGGCACCGTTCCGGGCAGGAGCCCTGGGAATTTTGGGCACTGTTCCGGGTAGGAGCCCCGGGAATTTCAGGTGCCATTCCAGGCAGGAGCCCCGGGAATTTCGGGCGCCGTTCCGGGCAGGAGCCCCAGGAATTTTGGGCACCGTTCCGGGTGGGAAAGGCGGTCAGGAGCCCCGGGAATTTCGGGCGCCATTCCGGGTAGGAAGGGGGCAGGAGCCCCGGGAATTTCGTGCGCCATTCCGGGTAGGAAGGGGGCAGGAGCCCCGGGAATTTCAGGCACCGTTCGGGGCGGGAAAGGCGGTCAGGAGCCCTGGGAATTTCAGGCACCGTTCCGGGTGGGAAAGGCGGTCAGGAGCCCCGGGAATTTCAGGCGCCCTTCCAGGCAGGAGCCCTGGGAATTTCAAGTGCCGTTCCGGGCAGGAGGCCCGGGAATTTCGGGCACCGTTCCGGGCAGGAAGGGGCCAGGAGCCCCGGGAATTTCGGGCGCCGTTCCGGGCAGGAGCCCCGGGAATTTCGGGCGCCGTTCCGGGCAGGAGCCCCGGGAATTCCGGGCACCATTCCAGGCCGGAGCCCCGGGAATTTCGGGTGCCGTTCCGGGCAGGAGCCCCGGGAATTTCGGGCACTTTCCAGGTGGGAAGGGGGCAGGAGCCCCGGGAATTTCGGGCACTTTCCAGGTGGGAAGGGGGCAGGAGCCCCGGGAATTTCGGGCACTGTTCCGGGCAGGAGCCCCGGGAATTCCGGGCACCATTCCAGGCCGGAGCCCTGGGAATTCCGGGCACCATTCCGGGCAGGAGCCCCGGGAATTTCGGGCACTGTTCCGGGCAGGAGCCCTGGGAATTTCGGGCACCATTCCAGGCCGGAGCCCTGGGAATTCCGGGCACCATTCCGGGCAGGAGCCCCGGGAATTTCGGGCACTGTTCCGGGCAGGAGCCCCGGGAATTCCGGGCACCATTCCGGGCAGGAGCCCCAGGAATTTCGGGCACCATTCCGGGCAGGAGCCCCAGGAATTCCGGGCACCATTCCAGGCAGGAGCCCTGGGAATTCCGGGCACCATTCCGGGCAGGAAAGGGGCAGGAAGGGGCCGTCCCACCTGGTTGAGCACCCGCTGCAGGTGCGGGGTGCCCATGCGCTCGGCCATGTGCCGGTAGGCCGGGTGGGACAGGAAGAATTTGCGCTCGGCCGCCAGCGCGGCGCGGATGTCCTTCTTGCCGTCGATGTCCTTCTGGCTCCGGTTCACCACCCCGATGTAGCCTGGCACAGAGGGGACGGTGTGGGGCTGGGAATGGGAATGGGGGCACTGGGGGCAATGGGGGCAATGGGGATATGGGGGGCACTGGGGACAATGGGAACACACGGAGTGACCCAAGGGGGACACAGGACACACAGAGTGACCCGAGGGGGACACACAGAGTGACCCAAGGGGGACACACAGAGTGACCCAAGGGGGACACACAGAGCGACCCGAGGGGGACACACAGAGTGACCCGAGGAGGACACATGGAGTGACCCGAGGGGGACACACAGAGTGACCTGAGGGGGACACACAGAGTGACCCGAGGGGGACACACGGAGTGACCTGAGGGGGACACACAGAGTGACCCGAGGGGGACACACGGAGTGACCTGAGGGGGACACACAGAGTGACCCGAGGAGGACACACGGAGTGACCCGAGTGGGACACACAGAGTGACCCAAGGGGGACACAGGACACACGGAGTGACCCGAGGGGGACACAGGACACACAGAGTGACCCGAGTGGGACACACAGAGTGACCCAAGGGGGACACAGGACACACAGAGTGACCCGAGGGGGACACACGGAGTGACCCGAGGGGGACACAGGACACACGGAGTGACCCGAGGGGGACACACAGAGTGACCCGAGGGGGACACAGGACACACGGAGTGACCCGAGGGGGACACACGGAGTGACCCAAGGGGGACACAGGACACACGGAGTGACCCGAGGGGGACACACGGAGTGACCCGAGGGGGACACGGGACACACGGAGTGACCCGAGGGGGACACACAGAGTGACCTGAGGGGGACACAGGACACACGGAGTGACCGAGGGGGACACGGGACACACAGAGTGACCCAAGGGGGACACAGGACACACGGAGTGACCGAGGGGGACACGGGACACACAGAGTGACCCAAGGGGGACACAGGACACACGGAGTGACCCGAGGGGGACACACAGAGTGACCCGAGGGGGACACACAGAGTGACCTGAGGGGGACACAGGACACACGGAGTGGCCCGAGGGGGACACGGGACACACAGAGTGACCCAAGGGGGACACAGAGTGACCCAAGGGGGACACAGGACACACGGAGTGACCCAAGGGGGACACACAGAGTGACCCAAGGGGGACACATGGAATGACCCGAGGGGGACACACAGAGTGACCCGAGGGGGACACAGGACACACGGAGTGACCCGAGGGGGACACAGGACACACAGAGTGACCTGAGGGGGACACACAGAGTGACCCCAGGGGGACACGGGGGACCCGCAGGGCCCCGGGCCCGGCCTCACCTCTCCGCAGGGGCAGCAGTTTGTTCTCCAGCACGTCGCGGGNGAGTGACCCCAGGGGGACACGGGGGACCCGCAGGGCCCCGGGCCCGGCCTCACCTCTCCGCAGGGGCAGCAGTTTGTTCTCCAGCACGTCGCGGGCGTCGGTGCCTTCGTCCATCAGGTCCAGCTTGGTGATGACCCCGATGGTCCTCAGGCCTGCGGAGCCGAGCGTCCACCCCGCTTAACCCCAGCCACACCCAACGGGGAGCCCAGAGGATGAGGAAGAGGATGAGGAAGGCAGAGAAGCCCCCAAAGTCCACCCCTCGTCCCGTTACCCTGCGGATCCACTTCCTTGGCCATCTTGAGCGCGTCCGAGTTGGCCAGGTCCATGTTGGCCGGCGTGACGGCCAGGATGAGGCTGCTCTCCCGGCTGATGAACTGCAGGATCATGTCCCGGATCTGGAACTCGATGTCCTGCGGCTGATCCCCCACCGGCACCTTGGTGATCCCCGGCAGGTCGATCAGGGTCAGGTTCAGCACTGGGGGGACACGGATGGGGTGAAGGTGGGGTGGGGATCCAGCTGGGGGGATCCCAGCCCGCCCTCCGGAGCTGGATTCCCGATGGATTCGCCCGGGTTTTCCCATTTTTTCTGGGATTTTTTCCCCTCACCGTGCGGGGAGTACACGCGCAGGTTGATGGGCACGGGGGAGATGCCCTTGTTGGTGCCCGTCAGGCGGTCGGTCTCGGCCTCGATCTCCTGCCGGACCTCGTCGAAATCCGTGAACTTCTTGGATTTGCAGTGCAGGAACTCGGCATACTCTGGGAGGGATTGGGAAGGTGAAAAACAGGGAGTGCTCGAGGGGGGTGGGGATGGAGTGGGGCGGGGGGATGGGGTTGGATGTGGGGGGAATGTGGGGAAGGGGCTGCAGGACACCCAGAAGGGCTGAAGGACACCCAGGAAGGGCTGCAGGACACCCAGGAGGGGCACCAGGACATTGAGGAGGGGCTGCAGGACATTGAGGAGGGGCTGCAGGACATTGAGGAGGGGCTGCAGGACACAGGGAAATGCTCCAGGACACCCAGGAGGGGCTTCAGGACATGAGGAGGGGGTGCAGGACACCCAGGAGGGGCACCAGGACATTGAGGAGGGGGTGCAGGACATTGAGATGGGGGTGCAGGACATAGAGGAGG